AAAAAATTAGTGAAATGATAACAAACATATTTACATTTTATGTTGTAGATAATGAATAAGTGCTATGTGGATCCCTCCTCCCATCCTGTCTCCATCAGCACACTCTTGGTTGTGCTGACTACCTGCTTGGTCATGACTAAGGACTGCAGATGTGAGAAGCCTCCCCTGCTGGGGGCACAATCAAGGCTCTAACTTGCTACTGAGGACTGATATGAACACAGTAACCAGGGGTGTCCTGGTTTAGAATCCACACTCCAAGAAAAGATTAAACAAAGAAAAATTAGGCCATCCTGCTGTGCAGCCTCCTCAGGGCACTTTTAATGTCCCTGCTCCTCAGGCTGTAGATGAAGGGGTTCAGCATGGGTCTGATCATAGTGTACATCACTGAGGCCACTGTACTCTTCCTGGGAGAATGTGAGACAGCTGTGCCAAGGTACTCTAAAATACCTGTTCCACAAAATAGACAAACAACTGCCAGGTGAGACCCACAGGTGGAGAAGGCTTTGTACTTCCCTGCTGAGGATGGGATCCTCAGAATGGAGGAAACAATTTTATAATAAGAGAAAAGGACCCCTGAGATGGGAAGAAAGCCAAATATGCCACCTATAACATAAATGACTATGTTATTGGTAAAAGTATCAGAACAGGCAAGATTGAAGAGTTGAGAAGGGTCACAGAAGAAGTTAGAAATTTCCACATCCTTGAAGTAGGCAAACTGTAGTATAATCAAACTGTGCAGCAGGGAGTTGAAAAGGCTAATTAATAAATATACCATGACTAAGAAGCCACAGAGATGAGGGTTCATAATGACTGGGTATCGCAGGAGGTGACAGATGGCCACAAACCGGTCATAGACCATCACAGTCAGAAGCATGTCATCCATACAGACAAAATTGGCAAAAAGAGACATCTGTGTCAGGCAGCCCATGTAGGAGATGGCTCTGCTGTGAGTTTGGATGTTCACAATCATCTTGTGGACCATGGTGGAGATGGAACAGATGTCTGTCAAGGACAGGTTGGAGAGGAAGAAGTACATGGTCTTGTGGAGGTGGGGGTCAGAGCTGACCGCTAGGATGATGAGCAGGTTCCCAAGGACAGTGACCAGGTACATGGACAGGAACAGTCCGAAGACTATGGGCTGCAGGTCTGGATCCTCTGAGAGGCCTAGGAGGAGGAATTCTGAGACACATGTTAGATTAGGTTCTTCTATATTACTCGGACACCTTTGGGAATAAAAGTATTAGAATAAGGAAACAACAGGTGTTCAACACAAGCAAGTATTCATACTTGAATTCCACGCACCTTCAGAAATATTTTCTGGACAAACTAAGTCTTCTCTGAACTCTTGCTTTACTGGTATCTGTGTTTCACACCCTTCTCTGCTCATATGTAAATGAGCAG